AATACTAATACTATTACTAATACTGATACTAATACTAATACTATTACTAATACTGATACTAATACTAATACTATTACTAATACTGATACTAATACTAATACTATTACTAATACTGATACTAATACTAATACTATTACTAATACTGATACTAATACTAATACTATTACTAATACTGATACTAATACTAATACTATTACTAATACTGATACTAATACTAATACTATTACTAATACTGATACTAATACTAATACTATTACTAATACTGATACTAATACTAATACTATTACTAATACTGATACTAATACTAATACTATTACTAATACTGATACTAATACTAATACTATTACTAATACTGATACTAATACTAATACCAATACTAATATTAATACTAATACTAATATTAATACTGATACCAATACTAATACCAACACTAATACTAATACTAATACTGATACTGATACTAATACTAATACTATTACTAATACTAATACTGATACTAATACTAATACTAATACTATTACTAATACTAATACTGATACTAATACTAACACTGATACTAATACTAATACTAACACTGATACTGATACTGATACTGATACCGATACTAATACTACTACTGATACTGATACTAATACTAATACCAATACAATACTAATATTAATACTGATACTAATACTAATACTAATACTAACACTGATACTAATACTAATACTAACACTGATACTGATACTAATAATAATACTGATACTGATACTAATACTAATACTAACACTGATACTGATACTAATACTAATACTGATACTGATACTAATACTAATACTAATACTAACACTGATACTAATACTAATACTAACACTGATACTGATACTAATACTAATACTAATACTGATACCAAGTGGCAGTTTTCCACAACAAAGCCTGTGAACTGCAATCAGTAGAACCAACCAAAACAAATCCATCATAGAGAGATGATACTGCCGTTTCATACGTTGTCTGTCACTCTGATCAGAGCACGACCACTGACAATAAAGGCATCTAATCCGTAACCACCCACACCAACTGTCTAAGAGACATTTTTAATGGCATATTAAAATTTTGGACTTTGTAAGTTCTAAAGTGCCAGAATTAACTGCCCAAACTTTTCATCCTTCCAGGTTTTATTGAAATTGGATCAGTGGACCATGTGATACCTTTGATATTGTGTGATACCTTCATTTGGACAGGTATTATCATTTAAAAGAATAGCAGGATAAAGGATAGCTTTTTAAAAGCAGCAGTGATCCACCATTAGGTGTTAGGATGGTAACAACCACCTGGGAGAGCACAGGTCACAAATTAACCATGGCCCCACTGTGGTGCATAATACCGAACACTCTGGAAATTATTCAGATGCTGAAACAATTAGTCAGTCAGAACCAAACAGAAACATAATTAGCAAAGCCAAGCATTTGTTAATTTTTAATATAGGCATTTGCTGCTTTACTCTTTTTGACCTAAATATATTTGGGTTTTAGAGTCGGTTGTCTGTCATAACGGCATGTTTCTATGATGACTCGTTGTCTCGCCAAAGTGATATATGTTGTTCTAAATGTCAGTGGAGTTCTTGCAATTCTGCCTGCCAACGTACAGTACAGTGCTTTTTCAGGACATGCTCCCATGGGTCGTATGAGAGGGAAGGGAAGTGGTATAGGTTGGATGACACGTTGGCATTTTGACAGTACGCAGCCTGTTATACTCCATTCAGCCATTCAGAAAAAAAGGACATCCTGATGCATGGCAGAGTGTTTTCAATCAGAGGATTTGATCACATATCAGTCACAGTTAGCATGGTAAACAACACTCTGAGCATTACTGTCTGAGATTAAAACAGCGGTGGAGTTGCCATGTAGTTACAGAAACTGCTTACTCAGCCATAAACTTGTGATGGACTTTGCTGACCAACAGTAAGTGCTTGGGTTTTTGTAAAGGTCACAAGGAGAATACATTTATAGACCATCTGAGAAGCAGACTCATTAAATTACCACTGTGCATTTAATTATCTATCAAAAATGAAAAATGAAGCATGGCAACACTGATTAAAGTAGTTAATACAGCCTGTGTTTGTCCTTTGGCTTTGCCCATTAGTCTTTTCTGTCTTTCTTTAATTTTGATGTAAAAGCATTTGTATTCCACGGTTAGTTCGTCTTTGTGTCTTTTCTCTTTTCATCCTCATCATAACTTGTTTTCATCTCAGTTTTCACACAGTTTCTCCCTTTTTGTTCTTTCTCTGTCTCTTAGTTTTCAGTTACTGAATGCCAATGCCAGATGTGCTGATTGCATTTATATGAGATCATACTATTCAGAAATACTGGAAAAAAAAAAGGAAATAGAAGAAATCAGAGACAATTGTACATGTTAGTGTCAAGGGAAACAGGTCTGATCTTTCTGGCTGGAGTCACATCAGCTGGTGGCTGGACTAGACTCTGGACCTTCAGAGGTCCAGAGGTTATATGTGTTTGCACATGTTGTAGCAAGTGTTGGAAACTGGAACCTGTTCAGAGAAAAAAAGGAGAGTCTACCGTGCAACCCTGCTAGTAGCTCAGTGAAGCGTTACATAAGCACACAGGTTCTTTGAGCTAAATGCTAATGTTAGCATGCAGACATGCTCAGAATGACGGTGCTAACACGCTGATGCTGAGAAGATTTATGCTTTACCATCTTAGTTTATTTGGACATAAACCAAAGTTTTGAAAAAAATAAAATAATGGTGCTGAAAAGTCAAAGTCACCACATTGTCCTGTGGGGACCATGTCTACCAAACGTCTAGGTAATCGATCCAGTGGTTGCTGAGACACTTTACTCAAAGCCACAGCGTCAACCTTATTGTTGTCAGAGGATTGGCAAAGTTTTAAGGATTCATCCTCGGAAATTAAAATGGCGGGTTGACCGTCATGGCCTTCATAGTGCCATGCTGCTAGTGTGGATACAAACAAATATAAAAAACGCAAGAAAAAGTTTGCACACTGTATTAAGTAATTTAATTCAATAGCAGCAACGCTTCAATCTATACAAAACATTCATCAGCCATTATCAGACACACATCACACTGAAAGGCACATTTTTACATGCACCTGCTAAGACACCAGAGCAATCTGCTTTGTAAAAGCGATCAACCAGGACAGAACCAAAACACACTCTCTGAAAACTCCCCACCAAAGGAGCAAAAGACCAAAAAGAGCTCTGAATTCTGTCTCGCATCCTTGAAAAAAAAAAGATAATAATGAGACTTGAGCTGCAGTCATCAAAGCTTGCTACACTTGTGAACAGTGAACAAGAGCACCTGCACCAAACTCTGTCAAAATAATATATACTGTTCATGCAAACAAATATGAAGAGGGATTTATATCTGAATCTTTGAGCATTTGTTTTTCTTTTTCCTTAAATAACACTGGGACCATTCAGTAACTCCCCCAGTCATCCTGGACAGAATATTATAAATAAATGTGCTGACATCTGTGTTCTCAGTGGGAAATAATGTCTCAAGCGAGATAGTTTTGTGAATGTTGAAAGGCTGTTTGGTCAAAGTGTAATTCCCGATTAAAAACACTGCAGGGAAATGGATAAACACCAGATTAGAGAATGAGGATATGTTAGTCTTTCCAAAGAGTAAGCAGATGAGTCAGACCTGAGAGATGAGATATGTTAATGGGCTGGTGTAGCTGCATCCTGTGTCCTGGTGGTCAATGCACTGGGTTTAACTCTGGTGGGTCAGGGGTAAAAATGTGTACACAGAGGTGCATGGTGCAGGCACTGTGGTTGAATTTTGGCAATTTTTGAAGCACTTAACAGTACAGTTGGAAATAGAATGGAACTAGCAGTAATAAAATAGCCTAATTTCAGTTGTGTCCATCTAATTCAGCCTGTCTTCTTCTCTTTAAATGGAAAGAATGTGTGCACTACAGTTTTCTGACAGTTTGCTGATACAGGACAATAGACTGGGTGAAAATGATGTCAGATCTTTGAGAACAAGTGGGTGTCGTTGGGCAGGAGATGTGGAATTAGTCAGAACTCAAACAGCACATTGTTAAAGATCAAATCAATCTGGGGGGATAAACCCTTCTTACTAACCAGTCATTAATGTTGTCCAGTGATATTTGGTAAAAAGCCAAACAGACCTTGGCAGCCAAATACCAAACTCTAATATCTGACGTGACATAAACATTCATTCATTCATTCATTTTCTACCGCTTAATCCCTGAGTGGGGTCACGGGTGGGACCGGAGCCAATCCCGGCCGGCAATCGGGCGAAGGCGGGGTACACCCTGGACAGGTCGCCAATCCATCGCAGGGCGTGACATAAACAGAACTATACAATTTTACATTTACTGTGCAGTGTTATGGTGTCTACCAACACCATGTGTCACAAACCTCTACCTACTTCATGTGTTTATTTTTGGGACATACTACAGCACAGCTGTACCCCAGTAGAGTCTTGTCCTTTGTCTTCCTTGTTTTGTATTATTTCCTTAAAGGAATAGTTCAACATTTTGGAAAATACTGTATGCTTATTCACTTTCCCGCTGAAGTTAAGAGGAGAAGGCTGACAAAACTTTCATATTAGTAATGAGGCTTGGGCCAGGAAATGGTTAACTTAGCTTAGCATAAAGATTAGAAGCAGAGAAAACAGTTCGCTTGGCTCTGTCCAGAGATAACATTTGCCTAATGGAAAACACATTGTGTTTGTTTAATCCATACAAAAACAACAAGATGTCTTACAGCTAGCCTGACTCTCTTTATAATAAAGTCTTGACTGACTAGTGACCTCTCAATGATAACAAGATCTTAGGAAGCCACTGTGCTCGGCCATCTTGCTTTTGTATGGATTACACAAAAGAGTTATAATATTTTTGCTGTTTTGTCCAATTTCCAGTCATTATAATAAATGATGCTAATGGGCTGCTGGCTATAGCCTTACTTTTCATATTTTGTATTCCTAACTTTTCTGTCTGATTTTTCCTCAGGTCTCATTGTGGGATCTTTGATGGTGTGCTGGCTTCCCAACCAGATTCGTCGCCTTATGATGGCCGCCAGGCCCAAGTCTCGCTGGACTACTTCCTACTTTCGGAGCTATGTCACACTTCAACATATTGCTGACACCTTCTTCTACCTCAGCTCCGTCCTCAACCCATTCCTTTATAACCTGTCCTCCAGGCAGTTCAGGGAAGTCTTTGTCCAGGTACTCATGTGCCATCTCACCATTGAACATGCCAATAAGCGAACTTTGCCGAGGTCCCATGCTGCTTCTGCACGCTCCCTCCAACCCCTGCTGTTAAAGTCACTGCGTCTGAACAGCACTACACAAGCAAAAACTCCTCCCACCTTTGCAACCTTTCAGAATCAAAGTGACTCAGGAGTGGTTCTGAATACTCCAACGTCCCCCTGCCTGACTGAAGAGCCAGGTTCAGTTCTTAAGACAAAGACAGATGAGCCATCAGAGTCTGAAATATAACATGCTGTACTATTTAATGGAACACAGTAAAGTGCACAATCAAACATAGCAGAAAATGGTTGGATTCAAGGACACTTGTGCTGTGAAAAACAATGAGATATTCCTTATACACAGTAAATGCTGCATCACATGTTAAGTTAGGAATTTCATTGACAGATCAAATTCAGTTTGGCACAACAGAAAGTTTGATGGGACTTCTTGAATATACATTTAACCTAAGGAATGTCAAATTGTTACCAAGTCAGACAATGGTTCTACAAAAGCTCAAATATTCAGTTAAGACCCTGCAGTTTGAGTGAAAGTTAACTGATGGAGTTTGTGACCAGTGACTTTGCTGTGGAGCACTGTTTTATATGTTTAGGCCCTTGTGATGTTTGCATATACACTGACATTTTAAACTGAAGTTAAAATTAAATTGATGCATCATCACCTTTTGGAGAGCGTCTTAAAAACAAGACCAATGAGTTCTCAGAGAGCATCTCCTGCTCAACACACACACACACAGACACACATTCTTCTTTCCTGTTGACTGTAGAGGGCAGAATGTGTGGTGCATACAACAAGACCCCAGGAACAGCTGCCCCCACACACATTCATTACAAATGTAATGGCTGTACAATGCCAGTTAAATAAATGGTGAAAAAACAAAACAAAAAAACCCTGAAAATAAATGTGAGCCTTGCAAACATCCTCAAATCAGTCTTTGTATGACCTAAACTTGACTCTTTAGTTGGAAAGAGCAGCAAATAAGAGAATGAATTCAGGGAAACAGCAAGAAGGCAGCAAACAAAATGGGCCAAAAAATGTGTGAGTCCAAGTAAGCCTGAAATATTTACATGCACCAAGTGAACAGTGTCATTGGAATGAGCTGGGGGGCTCTGTGCTGTGAGCGAATAACCAGTTAGATGACCGGTTTTCCTCATACTGTACATGAAGACAGTAGTAGAAGTGTCCTGCATGTTGTTGTTGGAGGGTTTAGGACTGACAATACAACAACAATACAACAACAAGTCCTCCAAATTCAACCACTAAATACTTTGTCTGTCAGTGCCCTCTGGAAATCTGGTTTATGATGTGATATGGTTAAGGTTGGCTTAGGTTTAGGCACAACAAGAACTTGGTTAGACTTAGGGAAACGTCCTAGTTCGGGTCTAATAGCGTACCGTAGCAGTGAGTCCTAAAACCCAGAACTGAGTCAGTATCTCTGCACTTCCAGTTCCCTCACCATGAAGTCTATGGGCTTTCTGAATGGGTTCTTGGTTAGACACCTGAAATAAGGCCTGTGGTTAACACAAGGCCGATACTTTCCCCTTTTGTTCTATAACATAAAATACACCAGTAAATACCCCACTCATGATTTTTAATGCTTTTATGTGTCTTATAAAATCAGTTGGTAACAAGTGGCTAAATGAGACTGCAGAGGCTGTCTGGGATTGTATACATCATCATGGGGACTCTGTCTACTCACTACTCCACCTTTACAGCCTTGTAATGTCTAAATTCATGCACTTGCAAACTATTCTAACTGACATAGCCATAGTTACTAGCTAGATCAGGTCACACCAAGAGGAATGGAGTTTGTAGAAGCTGTAGGCTCACTAAATCAGATTACAAGTGACACTGAAGTCATGGGACCCTGGTGTTGTTCGTTTATAACCCAACAGTAGCTTATTACTTCTGGTGATTGTATCTGGGCATCAAAAATCATAAAAGTGGTGATCAGTGGTGAAGTGTCATAAACTGTTGTTTGTCATGGGGCTTATTTTTTTCAATAATCCAGAAGCCTATGGAAAAGAATCCCACTGGCTGGAAACCTTCTTGGAACACAATATTCATCTCTTTATCTGCCTACCTCTCTGACAGTGTTGAATGCAAAAAACATAGCAATGCATCAGAAAAAATTGGGGGACTGCTGTACTACCTGACTTCTATGTGGATAGAAGCAATGTTTCACACAAACGTTTGTTTCGTTGTTTTTTTTTTTGTAAGAAACAATGAGTGTAATCATAACTGTTTATTTACAAGAAAACTTCACCGGGTATCCTTAAGGTTCAGTTCACTTATAATGAAAGGAAAACCTTTGTATTAAATGTTCAAAAGAGCAAAAAAAAAAAAAAAAAAATATAAAAGTGACTGAATATTACAATAAAATGAACTATACCACAATTTTTCATAGTTTTGCACATCCCAATAGGTCCCAGTCTCTCTCTGATACCTTACCATACAAAATACTCACTAACATCGACTCACCAGCCACTTTAACAGGTTTGCAATTCAATGCTACACTTCCTGATATTCTGACCCTCAGGTATGTGGATGGGGAGGACAAAAATAGACACCTCTGAATATATTGTAGTGCAGCACAACACCACCTTTAACTATCCATCCATCCATTTTCCTCCGCTTATCCGGGACCGGGACCGGGTCACGGGGGCAGCAGTCTAAGCAAAGATGCCCAGACCTCCCTCTCTCCAGACACTTCCTCCAGCTCCTCCGGGGGAATGC